TACATGGGGCTGCTCTTGAAGACCACTTAGAAGCTGCAGCTGGTCCAGAATGCAGCAGTGCAATGTAGGGTATGCCTTGTTATGCTCTGCAAGCTGCACTGGTGGTGTGTTGGTTATGACTTCTAAACCTTTTCATGGCATAGGGTTATTTGAGGGACTGCCTATCCCCAATGATCTCTGCCACTCTAGTAACAGCAGGTAGACATGGTGCTCTTGGGTCTCCTTGATCAAACATTGCCATTTACTGGGACCCAGGAGGCCTGTGGCACATGCCCTCTGGAATGATATCCTACCCAGAGATCTGTTTAGCTGCCATTCTAATGATGTTCTACAAATCTTTAAAACCTGGCTGTCCTCCCAGCCTAGGGGTAGAATGCTTGTGGAACCCTGGAAGGTTGGATGTTGTGCAGTTTGTCCAGACATTTCTTTGTTTGTCTGCTTTCCTATTTTAAGCCGCCCAGAGTCACTCTGAAGTTGAGTGGTTTCTAAATCTAAATACACTTAAAACAAATACATCTTACATGTGCACAGCATTGGTTGGCTATTTATTAAAGCAGCCCATGCTTTTTCAGGCTTCCATACAAGCCTGGAAAAAGATGCATCTGCTTTAAGTGTCAACACATTCAAGCTAACATCTAATGTCTAATTGAAGTTAATGAACCATTAAACACAGAAGCCTGAAAAAAATGGGTTTCTTTCTTACAGTAGAAGTGATTGCTAAGTTGATACACACACAGTGCCTGCATGAGCGTGCGGCTGGGGCAGCAGTCTCTTTTAAGCGCTTTAGGAAAATGGGATGCTCTTCAGGATGGGTGAAGATGCAAAGAGAAGCCCTGTTGAGATCAGCAAAGAAAAGGTAGCACAGTGCCCCAAGTTCAACTGGGGCAAGGGAAAGGTATTTGAGGTCAAGACCTGAATTTAGCAATTCATTTTCAATTCCACAAATGAAAATCTGGATCTGAAAATGATTGCACAAGTAATTGAAATATATATTCATGGACCGCTACTGGGACTTAATGGCAGCAATTAGAGACTACAATTATGGAGATGGTCGGTGTAAAACATGTGCCCATTGAAATATTTCCCACAACTACAATTTTGTCGTAGGGATGCTGTGCTATATATTCATTGCATGTGTCTATTCATCAGTATTGTAATAGGAAGAAATACCATCACCACGGTGTGTCATGGATGAAGGAAGTGTCAGTGTAGGTCCTACGCAAATTATTTCAGCATACTGTAGTCTTCCATGTAAGATGTACTGTATATGTACTGTAGTCTATTCACTTGAAATACAGAGGGTTTGCTATGAGATATTGCAATTTATCCCAAACAATTAATCGATGCAGCATTCTCTTTAGAATCAAACTGAAGACCTACTCACTCTTAATATCTGAAACAGTTTACTTTTAGAAGGTACTGTGTCTGAGAAGAGCTGGGCTGCACTGGGGATACTTAACTGAAGTCATGACAGTTCTTGCATTTATTTCATTACCACAAAGCAAGCTCAATGCAGTGACTCGTGCAGAGATATCACTAGTAGTTTGTTCTGAGGATATCTCATTCTGCTATCTCAGCACCAGAAGCAGCCACAGGAACAAATACATCCAATTCACAGAGGTAACAGAATTATCCAGTCCTAGCCAAAAATGACTGGAGGAGAGGGTAAGGCCAGGGTCATGCACTACATGCTGCAGATGTGCAATGCACCAAATTGCCAGCGCAAATATGGTATGTTAATCTATTTGTCTGACTATATAAGCATTTCTCTCGGAATTCCTGAGATACTGCACATGTATTTGTTTTTGGAAAGGGCAGGGAAAATCTAAGAAGAATGAGTTATTGCTCTTTACAGATATGCAGAACTACTCATGAGTAAGTATCCCATCTTGGCATGTGAAGCATAAGCTTGGGTGCATTCATTGGCTGCCTACCCAGTTTGCCATTTTAACACAGGTTGAAGTCCTGGCAGATGTTTACTCATGAGTGCATGGGCAGCGGGGATTCTCCAGCTTGCCAGTCTGCATGTGATGAAGGAAATGGAGAAGCCAATGAACAAGCCTTTGGTGGAAACTCCAATTCACAATCGAGATAGCTTGTGCAAAGAGAAAATGATAAAGCAGCAAAATAGTTTTGGATAGCTGGAGAGAGCAGCAGGCCTAATGCAGTCTTGCATTCCTAAAGCAGGACTATGAGGTCACCGGCATGGTTCTCTTACAGTCCCTCTGCAACTTCTGCTGAGATGGATGATGTCATGGAAATATGAGAGGAAGAGACAGCGGGCTGGAAAAAACAGACATAGTTAAAGCAGGAATGGGTTGCTTCAGTGAATATGAGCTGAACAAAGGGAAGGGGATTTTAGTCAAATCAGAGAGAGGAATGTTAATTCACACTTTTGGAGAATAAGCCAAGCTCAGATAAGATAGAATAGTGAAAAGGGTAGCTCTGAGCCTCAGAAGAAAAAGCAGGATATGAATCTAACAAAGAGACACACACTGGCTTCCTCTACTTCTTTCTCCACATTAACCTTCTGTTGTGACAACATAATGCTCCATGTTTGCCTCAATAAACTGCTGTTGAGGACAAAGAAGAGAAGCCATGACAGCCTCACACTGCAGGCAGTTTGCTCTAGGCATTATAGAGAGGAGGAGAAGAGCTGACTCCTTTATGCACCATGGGTTACAGAGGCACCAAAGTACAATAAATCCTAGATTAAATGGACCATTCAGGGAGAGGAGATGTCCATTAGACCCAAATGCCCATTAAATCCAAATTTCCATCAATTGTTTTGATTTATGTCATATACATAGTTATGTAATTGACATAATGGGTATCATTTGCAGTTATATCTTGAAACTTTCAATTTAATGGACAGAGCCAAGGTGAAGTCAAAACAACAACAAAAAAGATCACTGTATACCAAGCCCACTAAAATAATCTATCTGCAGATGTCTCTCCTTTTCTCTTTACCCTTCGTAGAGAAAGCTCAATGATTTCCTACTTTCCCAACTTTCTCCACAGCTTTTGAAGTCCTTGTCTTATTTTATACTTTCCATGAAATTAACATAGTATGCTGGCAAGATGGCAAGGTACTAAATGGATCTTATTCTTCCCACCCCAGTATCACCTTAAAATACCAACCAATCTTCAGAAACAAAACTTACCTTGCACCCTTTTCAGCTCCTACCCAGCCAGGCTATCCGGACTGTAAATGGCTTATGCAGTTTTACAGCAGACAATTAATGAATGCTCGGTCTGAGGAGGCATAAGAAACCACTATATTTTCTTCACATTTCTCTTGTGAAGGAGGTTTGGCTGCCCAACTACACGTACTATCCTCACTTGCTTTCCAAGCCTTTTTCAAACAACTTTCTTGGCAAGCCTGGCAAAATCTTGTGTGCAGAAAGATGGGGAAAAGTTGAAAGGGGAAGTAAGCTGCTCATTTTGCCTTTCTTCTGTTCTACTGCAGGGAAAAGCCTTAGCCAAATATTTGTATCCACAAATTTCCCAGTAAAGTAGCCTAGGACTGAGTCATTGAGACTTTAGTGTCTGTGCTCAAGCCTTTGAATGCTTACTCTGCTGTCCCTCTCAAGTTACAGCAAGGAGTATAAACCTGGTCAGTACAAGGAGGGGAAAACAATAATTTATAGCATACACATAGAAGTCCTTTATTGGACTTTCTTTCTGATAAGAACTACTTATATCATATTATAGACTGGTCTTGCATATTGTGTTGGGCCAAAATGCAGTGTCCTTGATTTTGTTGGTGTGTTATGTGAACCAAGTCATTGTTCGTGACTCAGCAAGTTGCATCAACCAACCAACTGTGGCTTAGTCAACAAATCAGGGCAGAAAACTATACCAATCTAAAATTTGTTGTTCCCACTGCTGATCCCTATTATGGTATTTTGTTTTTTGGTGCCTTTAACTCAACCTTGACTTCTGGTGACTTCATGGAAAAGTCCACATAGCTCTCTTGGCAACATTTTTGGAAGTCATCTAGCTGGCTTCTGTGCCTCAGACAGATCTAGAACTCAGATGTTGTGATTTAATGTGCTGAGCAGGTTAGACAAAGTGGCTGATTAAAGCCTCTGGCTTGGCAGAGGCTGCTGCTGCTACTATTGGAGGTTAATTATTTCCAATTTCCCTAAATGAAAATGGTCTGCTGGTGCTCCTGCTTTGATGGCAACTTCTTTAGTTCAAAGTTTTTTGATGGACTGGAAGAGTGCCCAAATTTTGAACAGCTTGTCCAACTCTTTCTGCCAGAAGGGGGGAAAAAAAGAATGGTGGAGGAAAAGAGTTCCTTGGAATCCAAAGGGAGTGGAGGTGTTCACCCCAGCCTGCAATGGACAATAGATGCTAGGCCTTTCCATTTCTAGAGGTCACTTTCACCAACGGGATAGTCCACAGACTTTCGCTATCACCGATAGAATAGTCCACAGACTTTACACATCTTGGAACTGCTATGGCTTGTTGCTGACTGAAGGAACACGTTAAGGAAGATTTAAGCCTCATTCATGGACTGAGGATAAAAAGAAGGTAACATCAAGGCGGAACAACAATATAAAACTGTTGCTAGGGCATGTTCATAATGTGGTAAGATGGAAGAAGAGAAAGATCTGCTAATGCGGAAGAATTAAAATAAACATCCCTCACTTCTAAGTCTCCAAAATCAGCCCTGTGAATTTAAGGATGATTTTCTCATAAAGACATTCCTACATTAAAAAAAAAAACTTTCTTCAGCATGGAGGAGAGGAAGTTAATTCTGTCATATCATAGGAGAGAGCTAATTAATGCTATTCCCTAGGTAGCAGCGTTTGTTGCAGAACGATTTCTCCACTCCCCTATGAAACCTGAATACAGTGCCAGAAAAGGAAAAGGCACAGACTGAGGTTCCTTAATATTCAGAACAGTTATACCTGTTTTCATCTAAACATAACCATAGTAAAGGAAGTAGGCTGTGAAAGCTCATACTCCCTTCTCCTTTCTGCTTCTCTTGTGCATGAATTCTCCTAAAGACTTTATTAATGCCAAGAGCTCTACATGTTTTAGAATAATGATAATTGTAACAATGACAAAACTAACACATTCAGTCTTGCATCTTACCAGCAATGTCACAGAGCTCAGCATCTGAAGCATTTGCCAGGGCTTCCTCCAGTTCTGGTTCCAGAGTTACACTTTCCAAAACAGGATCAATAGCTTTCTGCTTGGGCACCCAGATTTTTCCTATAAATACATGAAGTGGTAACAGCTTCAGCTCTATTCCAGTAGGCTGGCAATTGTATAGAGTTTACCCTCCTAAGGGCCTACCTAGGTGGTTCTTTCATAGTTACCAACTTTCCAAGACTATAAACACTAAGAAAGGTGAAGAAGGTTTTCCACTGAGACCCTGTTGTATGAAAAGGGGAAGTTAAACTCTTCCCTTCCCAATTAAAATCATTCTCTCTGTCTAGCAATAACTCGTAGGAAAAAAAAGGTCCTACTGGATGTGGGATTTAGATCAGGATTCAGGACTCACGGTGTGGTTGCTAACCTTACAGTTAAAGTAGGGGTTGGGTTTTATGTAATTCCAATTCAGTTTATGTTAACACAAAATCATTTTTACAGCATCCTGCTTCTAAGGCTGCCTAAATGTGGTTGGTGTTCATTTTAAAATAGCAACAGCATGGAGGCAGAGCATGCCTTTGGGGGCCTGGCGCCTACAGTGATATCCTAGGCTCTTCTCCAAATTCTCATTCAGTGTGGGATGTGCTCATTCAAGCTTGGCCCTTTCAACAGCAAACCAAATTCCTTCCTTATATTTTCAATTCCCCACCTCCACCCCGCAGCTTTCTTTTAAAAGTAAAGTTCTGTTTGTTTGGTTTAAGGTAAAGATAAAGGTCACTTTCCCGCTAGAGACTTACAGCAGCTTTGATAACCATCCAACCACTGCAGTGGTGAATGGTTATCAAAGGTGATGAAGAGAGGCTTTATGTCACTTCAGTGATGACTGGATGAGGCTTTGAAGATGCTCTAAGTTACTGGTGTGGAAATGGCCATAGTCTCCTTCGAGTAGTGCTTGATTGTTGATGAGTACACGTCCATGTAGCTCTCTTAGCAACAGTATGAAAACGGTTTGCCATTGCCTTCTTCTGTCTTCCCCCCCCCCACCCACACACACACTTTCTAGTCTAGCCTTGGAATTCCATTGAGTATTAGGCAACCCAACCATGCCTAACTTTGGTGCCCAGAGATAGCCAATCAGGTGCTGCAGAAAACACACAGAAAGGGGAGGCAGCGTCCTGCCACAATAGCTCAGTAAGATGAAAAACTAGCAAAGGCAGGGTGTGGAACTTGTTAATTAAAAAATAATAATTTCCCAGAACCCATGATCAAGCTTTTCCCTCCCTCCCTCCCTCCCTCCCTCCCTCCCT